ATATTTTGACTGACTTGCAACTCATTATTGAAACGACGATCAGAAGATTCTTACAATGCCGTTGAATGACTGGTCCATTTTAACAACAAACGGCGCCGACTTTGTGCTATGGTAATACGGAGTGTCGAGGTAAGACAGCCGATGAAGATGGCGAAGATTATTTTTAAGTCACTTTAGTTACAGGAATTACAGGAATTATTACCTACGGAGCCTATACTATGGGAAATCGTCTGGCTCCATTCTATGACATTAAAGCAAAAATGGATCTACCGCAGTAGTAACATAGACAGCTAGGCCATAGGAAGAAGATACCTTAATAAAATGACCGGCAATGAATTAACGTCTAACCAAGCAAATCTATCTATAAGTGAACAATACCTACAGAAAAGCCAACAGTAAATAAAGCGGACGTGGGAACAAACTCACTTAGGTCAACGGAAGCGCCTAAATTATCTATGTTGGAGATAAATAGCCATTCTTTGCCAGCTGCCAACATCTCAGCAGCCAAACCTGACTGGACGAAGCTGCGGTAGACATCACCGTGACCGGGAGGATACCAACCAGAGAGATCGACGGCGGGGTGATCAAAGCACTCAGGGGAGGATGGGGAACTACCGAGAAGGTTTGGATCAACGGTCTTCGCAATGGGCATAAAGGACTCGCGATTAAGTCGCGGATACCTGCAAGGAACGAAAATTGTCGACAAACATAGGGGAAATAAAGAAATATGCTTCTTGGACAGTCTTTGTTAACTGGATTTGTGGCAAGCTGACAAGGGTATGTTTATAAACCAAAGGTGAACATTTGAAAGTCCAGCTTGAACTCATGGTGGAGGGAACGTTAAGATGCCAAAGCCTCAATTAGGGATAGACTCTAAGCCTAACGGTGGTACGCACATGTAATTTAATTGTGACACATTCTTATGCTTGACACCTTGCCTGGGCGCAAAGCAAAACTGTGAATGGTAGGGGCTTTAAAAATTGTATTAAACTTGCAATTTGGCATACGAAATGGCTAGAGCTAATAATTATTACTACTGTTGATCATTAGTTATTTAAATCCTTTTTTCGAAAGTATCGCTTTTAAAAAACGCAATATCCTAATGATAAAAGTTTCAGTGACCGACGGCATACACTGTTGTTCCCAGTAAGGGTTAGCAGCATTTGTTGTCAAATCAGTTAAAACTATACAATGTCCCTCAAAGCTGAGCAAAGACCTGAATTGTAACTAATCGGAAGTCAGGATATTCTGCTAACAAAGATCGAAAAGGGTAGTTGAATATGGTATTACTAAGGAATAGAGTTAAATTCTGATAAATTCTGTTAAAATCTTACGAAGAAATCAAATGCAAAACTCAGGAGTCTGTACGTACTTGATCGTAAAGACATTTTGATCAATAGTGGGTGAAAATAAGAGGTAACGTAAGATGAGAATAAGAAGTCTCAAGCTTACATGCTTTGCATAAATGTGTAAACTTCAACGTTGACATTCTTGTACTTGTGCAGCACTTTTGCAGTCTCCTCTTGGGTATTGAATGAATTCATGAGGACCAGTGGAATATTGCACTCGTACTTGGTGTTTAGTTTCTACAGAAGAAAAGCGGTATGAGAGAAAAAGTAAGGCATTTGCGGACAGCCGACCAATGCTTAAAGTCAATAAAAAACGAAAAAAAACAAGCTCCTACGCGTTTCAATCAAAATTATCGAATGAAATCACGTTAATAAATATGACATATTTCGTTTTGACAGCTCAAGCAAGAATTATGTATACAAATTCGATGGACTTATATTTCTTTCTCTCGTGAGTTAATGGGAATACTATACATGAGAAAAGGCCTTCAAAAACTAAAAGTCATGGCTTTATATCAGGCATTTCATTTAGACCATTATGGTAATTGTGTTTACGCATTTTTACCGCTTTGGTCGAATTGTCCCTCGGATCTTCAAAGTTGGCATATAAGCAATAATTAGCTAGTTGTTGCGGACTGGTGAAGAGATTACAAGATAAAAGAGGGTTTTAATTTTTATCGAACTTTCCTTGTTTAATCTATGCAGTCTAAAACAAAAGGCCGAAGTTTTAAATTCAACTGAAATTCTTGATAAAATTAGATATAAAAATTTAAAGAAACCTGTCTGGATATGGATATGGCCATTTCAATATCAAAAATGGCGCTTTTAACAATATCTTTCGTATGGAGCAGTCTGAAAGCCTACGTTTGGACTGTATTTGGGACTCTATTCAATCCCCTTCCTATCCTGTTCCACTCCTCAAAGTACTGACTCAGAAAGACATGTTTACACTTCTGTTGGACAACAGTAGAAGGAGAAGATAAGTAGACTAATGAAAAATATGTACTATCAGGAGGAACATACATAATTTACTAACGTGATCGTGCATAATGTTCACCAGCTCTTTGCGAAATCGTGATTTCCGTTAAAACTCAACGGAAAGAAAACATATCGAGGGGGGAATTATCCTTACGGAGTCTTTCCGTTGAGTTATTTGTTGCCACTGACGTACTACCTAACTTTATGTGATAAATTTTAATTTTTACTAACTTTAGGTTACTCACTAACGAAATTTACGTATAAGTTAGGAAAAATACCTTTAGTTTTCCAGTTTTTGGAATAGCATATTGTTTCACACAAGAGAAATTAAGTAGCTCGTGTTTGGGTTTTGACTCAAATAACCCTTATAGGCAATCGAGCTGGTAATTAGTGAAAGTGAAAATAATCGTCGGTAAATCATCAAAAATATAACTTCAGTGCTTACCTCAATTTGTTGAACAGTTAGGTCTAGGAAAGTCAGGTCATTGCGAACAGATATGAGTGATTTTGGCCCGGTGCAGCCCATACTCGTTCCGAGGCCACCATTTAGTTTGATAACCACTAATTTGTTCAACTGTTCTCGGGTCAGATTTCGGTCCGTTATGTCGGGAAGTTGTGAATATGCTTGGATCTTTTTGATTAAGGAAGTAAAAAGGGTATAAAGCATACTCAAATGCCATTCGAAACATTATATACATAACAGCGGATAAACTGAAGCAGTCGCTTATAACATAAAACATGTGGATGGATGAAATTATGATAAAAAAAATTATAGACCATTTTTGACAGCACTGCAATCAAATAAAATTTGTCGTGGTGATAAAAAATAATTTTTACCTCATCATCAGGCAGAAGCTTAATTTTGTGCCAATCAATATCTTCTGACGCTTCGATGAAACGTTTGAAAAGTGCTTGAAATGATTTCATCTGGACACGGAACTTTTCCTTCCGTTCGCCCTGCTCTTTTGGAATAGTCTCTGTCAAAACATCAAGTTCGTGAGCAAGTGCCTTCTCGGCATGTTGCCGAATGAGTTCTTTGAACATTTTGAGGAGGGAAGGAAGGTCTGTAATTGGAAAACGAAAAAGCCGCTTAGAACATGCTCATTATGTTCGCGATCTCTTTAATCGTGACGGCAGTTTGAGTAAAAGTAAATCAGTTATCTTCAAATACGAAGTACATAGCTGAAAGTGAACTAACCATCTGCGTTAAATTGTGTAGGGTAAAGGTTTCAATTTAAATTTAACTATGATTTGAACATAACTCCGAAGTTATGTAGCATATATTTTACGCAAACAATTGTGAGCCAATTTAAACAGACTTAAAGCTGTGACGTTGTCTTACTAAGCTTTATTCAAAAGATGACCACGTGAATCGGATTTATATGAGGCAAGGTAGGCGGTAGTAGTATATATCTATAAGACAACTCGATAAAAGCCCACAGTCACGAACTACTTTTATAAGAGTATGCACGCTAGCTGGCGACTCTCTTTCTGATGTTCTAGAACGGTGTTGATAATTTCAAGACCTCAGTGACGTTGCAGCAACACTTCTGGATAAGATTACACTTATAAACTAAAAGGAACGATATACAGTTTCTTATGATTTATAAGCGTAAGCTGTAGTTTAACAGAAATATTATTGTCACTGATGTGCTTATTTTTTTGATTATGTAATTTTGGTAGCACTACAAGTTTACTCATAGAAAACAAAAACAGACATCCTTTCCTGCCTGCTTTTGTTTAACTAGTCAACTATTTATAAACAGAACAAATTGACAGGTCCATTAAATCCTCAGTTGCCTCCTTGACTGCCAACTGTTAAACATAAATGTCAAATGGATCCTTCTAGGCAAGAACAAACTGAAACAACGAAAATAATT